ATACATGTATTGTTTTCAAGAAATCAAAAAGTAGTCGCCGTTCATTGCTGTCGTAGACGTAGGCATATTGCCGAACCTCATTAAATTCTTGTGTTCTTTCTTGATTGTTTGGTTGATTCTTACATTTATTTGCCCTAATTTCTCAACATTCAGCTTTCACTTATTTTGAGAGGAGAAAGAAAAGTGCAATTTTTGAGAGATTGTAATGGTCTTTGTAGATTTGCTAACTGCTTGCAACAAAATGAGGGAATCTTTAAAATTTCACTTTCAAGTCGTATTACATTTTATTATGTTTTTTTAGTACCTGTCTCAAAGTTTGTAGGATTTATTATGTTGCAGGGGGTTTGATGTCAAAATCTTAATAACTACAATCACACTAATTGGCTCCCACATTTGATTGTATGATAATTTTTCATAAAAATGCCAGAATTAATTGTTTTGATTAATCACTTAATATTACTAATTTATAAAAGAAAAAGCATGTTTATAATGTGTCGTGTCCTTTTTATGATCATGTGATTTTCTTTTTTTCAGACCATTTCATGTCGGTATCCATATTTTATAATTCTTAATTTAAAAATGAAGATTTGAATGGATAATCAATTTTGATTTTTTTTTTTTTTGGCTCCTTTATTATGCACTTATGTGAATACCTACCTTATGGAATTGTATATGGCATCTAACACCTCAATTTTTTTTAAATGATGCTCAGGTTGGTCAAGATTCGCGGTTTTTTATGCGTGAAGTGTATAATACATTTAAAGATGGTGGGGATCCTAAGAAGGTTAGGGATTATTTAAACATCTTTTATTTTTTGTTTCTTATTTTCTATATCTATATTATTTTGCTTATATTTTGGCACATAATAAAATGTGTTTAGTATCTTAAAAACATATTATTTTTGCTAATTTATGTGGTGGCGATGATAGTTGCCCATAGAAATGGAGTAGCGGACGCAATCACTGGTAGAATAGCAAAATAATATACTTGATAAAGATTTCCTTATTAAATATAGCCTCATCAATTGAGAGTTGTACTGTTATTTAATATCATTGAGATGGATTAAGATAATTGTGATGGTTATTTCTAAGACTTGTTGTACATATGCAAATCGTCATTTATATTTCTTTTCTGAAAGTGGTGTTGAAAAACAAATTTCATGTAAGAAATATTTGATATTGGCATGAAATAAGATTGATGAATAACAAGAAAATAAAATTTATAAAAAATGAACTCACATATTTATGTGGAATACCCTTATAGGAAAAATCATGAGTAGAGAAGAAGAATTTACTATATTGAAGAAAAGAAGATTACAAGTAGTGAGTGTTGGCTCACATAAGATCTCACCAAAGAAATGAGTTATAATCTTGCACAATGAGTTAGGTTATTTATAGATTTGTATGAGACCGTCATAAGAAAAAATTTAAAAGTGGTCAATAATGCAAGAGCTCATGGATTACACTCTAAATGTTATCATAAGATCAATCTAACAATAAAATTTTTAACCCATGTACTCATAATAATGATTAATTTAAAATTTTACTGAATGGCTAGATTTTTTATTTATCACATTATTAAGCCCAATTAGTATTTTAGGTCATTTGCAATTCCAAGATCACCAGAAATTTTAAAAGTGGTCAATAATGCAAGAGCTCATGGATTACACTCTAAATGTTATAATAAGATCAATCTAACAATAAAATTTTTAACCCATGTACTCATAATAATGATTACTTCCATTAAAGCGTGTAGGACCCACAGAGCTCGGATAAGAAATTTATTATTCTCTACCTTGACATGAATTCCCAAAAATATCAAAAAGATTTTCAATTTTTGATGACATATTCACCAACTCTTTTACAAATATTTAAGGATTATCAATGAATACCAACCAAGTCTAATCAATGCTCAAACTTAGCTATTGGGAGTACCTTAATCATCACATCAGCAAGATTATCACAGGTACTAATCATGCTCACAACTCTATCACCACAAGCAATAGCTTCATAAATAAAGTGATAATGAGAATCAATATATTTAGTTTTCTCATGAAACATCTAACATTTAGAGAGAAAAATAGCATTTTGACTATCACATATCATTGCGGTATTCTTTAAGCCTTCACTAAGCTCTTTAAATAAAAATTTTCAACTAAATGACTTTTGTAAGCTACAATAATTTCAATTAACATTGCTATTATGATATATAAAGTAGTTTTCAAACTGATCGCACAACCATCAATAATAAACATATCTTGTAATTGATCTCTTACTATAAAGGTCTCTAGCGAAGTCTGAATTAATATAGCCAATGATTACATTTGTAGTCTTCCCAAAATTGCAAACAATCATTTTTAGTTCCACCAAGTATTTGATGATCCATTGAAAAATTTTCTAATGTTTCTTATTTGGATTACTCATGTACCTGCTGATTGTACAGACTACATATTATAAGTCTAGTCAAGATCATACCATCGCATACATAGGATATACCACTTCACTGCAATATGAACTCGTGATATATACTTAATCCAATCATTTCAGTGTGAACATAAAGTTAATGAGATTCTAAAATGTGTAACTAGTGGAGTGCTAATAGATTTGATATTTTACATACTAAGCCTATGCAAGATTTTCTAAATGTACTATTTTTCTCTCTGAAATAATTTTTATATTTCTATACATAATCACCAGGAAGAATATATTTGCAAAATCTACACCTGAAATCTGACTGAAATCTTTTGCAATTAGTCTAACCTTACATCTAGCATTTTCAGCTCTCGGTGTACCTTCTCTTTTCTTAAACAACCATTTGCTGCTAATAATTTTTTTCCCTTGGGTTTGCTTCAATAAATCCCTACTGCAATTCTGTGGAGGGATTTCATCTTCTCTTATATTGCAATCTTCTATTTACTAGAATCAATTAAATTAAGTGTCTCTCTATAACTAGAAGATTGTTCCCCATACTCAATAACTTTAGCTACCTTTAGGGCATAAGGAACCAAATCGGCCACACTGTCCATCTATGATGGTGATATGTGTGAAATTTAATGATGTGATGTAGCATGTTTTTTATATTTTTTGTGCTAGTTTTATGTTTTTTTTGGTATTTTTGTATATGTGCTACATAAAAAAAAAAACTTAGCATTTGGGGAGATATGTGGCAATTTGAAAACCGGCTTCCCAACGCCGTAAGGAAGTGCCTCGACACTATAAATGGGCGCCATAATGCCATATACGGGATGCCTTAGCGTCAGCCCTTCATGATTAATGCCACGACACTCCTCTCCGATGTAGGGTGATTTTGCGGTTCGATGACAGTTCGACCAAACACTTGGCATAAAAACTTACGATTTAAAGATAAAGATTCTTTCTAGAATTCTCTTGCGAATAAAGGAAATTGTTAAGAGTGTGGGGAAGTGTTAGGGTATGATAGAGTGAGGATTTTTCACTTGTTTGGGTGTGAGTTTGTAATCTTGAAATGAGGAGATTATGGGTTGCAATTAAGTCTCAGGAACAATGATTTCAATTATATGATTTTTTATTATTTTATTTTTGTAATTTGGTTTGATATCATCAATGCAATTCATGTTTTTATTTCAAATCATGCGCAACTCTTAAAATTTCTCGTTCACCTGGATTAGTGCTCACTTGGTTTAATACTCCTTAAAATCTCAAAAAATTCATGCTCGATTTTTGAAACTAGCGAATGTTTCAAGTTGTTTTAACCTTTCCATCTCAACTTGCATTCAAACTGACCTTTTAGATTGTTAAAATTAGTTGTAATCTAGAGTATTATCGGAAAAAGACTAAAAATACAATTAGGTTAAAATACATAAGTTTAGTGGAATAGGAATATTGTCGTTAGATATTTGTAATATTTTTTGTGAAATATGGATACTCGGGAGTTTTTACTTGGTTAGGGGAACTAAACTATAATATGGACCTCCAACTCTTATTATATCTTGGAAAAGAGTAAGAAGTGTTGGGCCCCAATTAATTAGTACATTAGGAGAATCACTTGGATGAACTTGTGTTTTATTGAACTAATTCAAATGAGACTCTCACACCATTAAAAATTTTTCTCACTTAGCTTTAGTCTTTAATTTTGAAATTAGGATTTATAAACTTTTAAAACCTAAAAAATATGAATCATTTTGGACTAAACTTAGGATTAATAAACTATTAATTAAACTATTTTGAGAAATAACTCATTTTTTGTGGGATCGATAACTCAAATTTATAATTTGTGGACTACTTGTTTAGAACGTATACTTGCATGATAATGTTTGTGCACTACACAACATATCAAGTTTTTAGGGTGTTGTTAGGTAACAACGTTTAATTTTCAATTGAGGTTAATACTAGTTGAGGATTTTTAACTTTATGTTAAAAAATTATAGCGTATTTATTGTTTTTGATTTATTTAGGTGTATCACTTGTTTGTTTATTATGTTTAAACTATAAGAACTGTTGTTTGTTGTAATTATAAAAAATAAAAAATACAAATATTGTGACTAGTGCTTTAGTTATTTTATTTGTTATTTTGTTTTATTGTATTTTTTGTTGTGTTTTATTATTTTTATTTTATGAAGTATTTTGATTGTTAGTTTATGGTTATTAGTTAGTATAAGGCATATTTGCAAACTCAACTTAGTGAACTTCACTGTTTAACCCTAAAGTAGAGAAAACCTCTTAAAAAATTAGAAAACTTACAACATTATGAGTACTTTAGAAAAATGGTGAACCCTTCGAAAGAAAGCATTCGACTTAGACCACTTAGGGATATTGTCAACTCCATGATAGATGAAATTTATCAGAACATTACTAATCTTACCTTTCAAGCTAATACATTTGAAATTAAATATGTAATTATTCAAATTATTCAAAATAATCATTTTGGAGGTTCACCAATAAAAGATCCTTACATATATCTAGTTTCTTAGAATTATGTGCAATCTTTAGAAAAATTGGTGTCTTGAATGATGCTGTAAGGCTTATTTTGTTCCTTTTTCTCTCTTGGAGAAAATGCTAAAATGTAGCTTATTTCTTTAAAACCCAGGTCTATCGCAACATTGAACGATCTTGCACAAAAATTTCTACATAAAATTTTTTTCCATCTAAGACTGATACTTAAGAATGAAATTACATTCTTTACCCACTTGGACATTGAGTCAATTTATGAAGTTTGGGAGACGTTTAAGTATCTTCTTAAAAAATATCAATATGTCATACTCGATTGATTTATTTTACAAACTTTTTATAATGGGCTGGTGGAATCATTGATTTTCATAATAAATATTGTAGAAAGCGGTCTTTAATGTTAAAAGCCTTTGAGGAGTCCCATGCATTGATTAAGAAATGACTAATAATAATTTTCAATGATCTTTTGAAAAAGTCAACCTTAAGAAATTAACTAGCATATTCATGAATATGATGTGTTATCAATTTTGACTTTATAGGTAGGTGCTAAAAAGTGATATAACTTATTTTTGAATTCAATACAAGGCTGACTGATAAGTGATGAGAGTGCTTATGGATAATTAGGGGATCCTAATGTTGTTTTTGTGGAATCAATGAATGTCATTACCAATAGGATCAACAATCCCTTTTTAAATATCTACAATTCTAGTTGAAAAAATCACCCAAATTTTAATTGGAATAATAGCCAAAATGTAGGAAATCGACAATAGGATAATAATTAAAAAAACTTTTTAAGTAGTTAAAATAATTAGAGAAATAATTTAACAAACTCAAGATCAAGTTACTCCCCTAAATTCAC